TTTTATTTATTTATTTATTTATATAATATTATAATAAAAACTTTAAGATACAATAAAAAATTTAATTATAAGAAAAAATTTCTAAAATAAAGATTTTTATATTATATTTGTGTTGCTAAAATAGACATTTAGTGCAATATTACATCTCCTATTTTCTAAATAATTATTTCAAATTATTTTCTAGCTAGAATAGGTTGGAAAAAACTTTAGATAAAAATTAGAATATTATATAAAATATGTGGTTAAAATAAAATCTTGTAAAAGCTATTTATTAATAAATGTGTAGTATTAAAAGATTGTGTAGTATTTGAAAAATTATTAACAAAGGTAGATAATGTTAAAAAGTGAAATTTTGTATATTTAGTTTTAGTAATTATATTTTAAGTAAATTCTCATTGATATTAAAATATATTGCATATGAATTATAGATCTTAATAATATCAAATAAGAAGATTGTTGCCAAGATTAATCAAAAAGATCAAAAAGATATATTTAAAAGAGTTTTAATATTATTATAGGTTATTATAGTAAAGATGCCAGATATTGCATATAAAATTAATTGGTAATTAGAGTTTGTAAAGTTAGCTATAAACTTTATAATTATATTAAGAATAGAGAGTACTAAATTATTAGATATTTGAAGTAAAGTGTGTGTTAATTAAATTATATTAAGAATTGCATAGTTTATATTAATACTATTACCAATACAAAGAATAAAATAATATGTGTCTTTAAGATTTATATATCAGAAATAAGTTAATGTTGTATAAAGATAAGAATATTGCATATTAAGATTTTTTATAATAGGCAAGTTGTTTATTAGAATTTTGATATAAAAAGAATATTTTTGTGTGTTATGTTCTATAAAATTAATTATTAAAAAGTTGAGAGTTTAGTTAATTTCTAAGATGTTTTAAAAATATTTAAATGTAAATCAGAATAAAAGCTCTTAGATTGTGATAGTATTTTTAATAAAAATATAAATTTTGAATAATATAAAATGATTATTTTATAAAAAGTAGGCTGAAGTAGTTGGTAATAATAATTTAAAAATGGGTTTGGAAGTTTCTTTTTTGACTAAAAAATTAGCTTAGTTATAAAATAAATTTGTATATAATTTAATTTTTAGAAATTATATATTAAGATTTTTAAGAGTTTTGAAATAATTAATAAAAAAGATAATATTCCAATTTTTAATATGTAGTTGTTTTAAAAGAAGATATATTGCAAGTTTTTATTACTGTTTGGTTGTTAAAATAAATTGTAATAGAAATGTTTGATGAATAACTAAGAGAAGTGATAGAACTGCTTCAAGTTTAGTATGATTAGTATCAGTATATGATTTTGTACTTACATTAAATTTATATTAGTATTTGTTTTGCAAATTTAGCCTATGTCTTATTTAATATTTGGTATTTGATAGTCTTTAATAGAACCATTTATATAAAAGATTAAATTGACTAAGCTAAAGTTTTTAATCAAGAAGTAGAGTTTAATTAATTGATTTTAATATAAAATTAATTTAACAATTTATTAAATAAGTTGTATTTAAAAAAAACTTAGATTTAATAAAGAATAAGAAAGAGGTAAAGGTTGAAGAAATGTATAATTGTTAATATGAATGAATGAATGAATTTTATTATAATCAATTTGTAGTAAGTCATTAGTAAATTTAAGTTGATTGTAAAGAATACTAATGGATTAAAGGTTTGAGAATATTAGAGGTAAGATGGAAATGATCATAGTAAATTTAGATAAATAATTATGAAGTTGGTAGAAATCAGTTTGTTGAAAGTAGATTTGTTAAAAAAAGAAGTTTAGTTAATTATTACTATATAAGATTTGTAGAAAAATAAATAAGTTGAAATAAAAAAAAAAGGTCTACTGAGTTAATAAAAGAGTTTTTGAAAGAAAGAGTTAAATGAAACCAGGTTGTAATAATATTATTGTTTTGGTTATAATAAAAGATTTGTATAAACCATGTTAGTTGACAGTCTTGTGTAAATTTGTTTGTTATAGATATATATTATTTTATAGAAAAAAATATAAGTTTTTTGCTGTTATAATTTGTTCAAAAAACAGAATTATGTTGTTTTTTAAACTTTAAATAGTTAGGTTGAATAATTTTGAAAAAAGAATTTTATATATTATATTGTAAAAGAGGTGTGGTGACTTAGTAAAATAAATAAGTTATTAACCTTTCAAGTGGCAGATAGTAAGTTCAAAATTCACTGATAGTAAAAATTTAGATAATCATCTATGTAATATATAAACAGTATTATAGTAATAGCATTCTGTTGATTAGTTAGAATAAAATATCTGTAACACAATTGCACAGCATAACTGGCAGATCATAGGACATCTATCAATGTTGGAGTTACACAGAAAAATGCAAACTAGTATCAGGTGGTGCAAACCTAAGATAAGTTCTTATGGTTATGCAAATTCATAAACTGAAAAGCTAAAACCCACTTGAAAAGACCTGAATAGAAAGATAGCACAGATCTTTAATAGTACAACTATAAAGACTAAACCTAAAAAACAGATACCAATGTGTAAAGAATTAGATAAACAAAAATCTCAGATAAGAAATACTACCAACCAGGCTGCTGAAAGTCTCAAACTAGAGGAAAAGGACCTTAAGAAGTAGATTCTGAGGTACCAAAGACAGGTCATAGTCCTTTTAGGCTATCTGGATTAGAAGTCTGAGATCAGAAGCAGAGGTATACTATAAGTACTAGTGATATACTATAAAGTCAGTACTAGAGTCTAGATGATTTTACAAAGGTGAGCCCTGTTAATAAGAGACTAAATATAAGTAGTTAGTTAGCAAGAGAGCCTTCTGAAGCCCTACAGTCAGGTAATATACTCTGAAATATATTATGACTTAAAAGACATACAGACAGAAAGATCAAGGTTAAGTTAGATAGCACTTCAGTATATAGAAACTTGTGTACTATTTGTCAATATAAGTATAGAAATCAGAGTGTTTAAATAGATAATTTTCTAGTAGATTGCAGATATAACAACTAGTATAGAACCTGCTATATAGGCAGACTACTTAAAAAAAATAACCAAAGTTGTATATGTAACTAGTTGTAAACTTTTCTTGTACAAGTTATATAATAATAATTAAAATACAATAAAGGCAATAGCTACTGATAACTATAGCATTAGTAAAAGCAAAAATATATATATATATATATTATATTGTAATTAGTAAAGATTTTTGATGAGAGTAGAAGTTTGAAAATGAGATATTATGTTTTGCAAGTTGGCAGAAATAAAAGATTAGTATAAAATTTTAAAATTTGTAATAGTAAATATTAAATATATCTATTGTAAGTTTAGATTATCAAATTTTATAAAGCCAAGTTTTAATATAAAGAATATTAATAATATTAAGTAAAGGTGTAGAGTTGAAAGTATGTTCAATATTAAAAGCATTTAGTTTTTATATAATATTGCAGAAGATTGATAAGTTAAAAGATAATAAATTAGTAAAAGTAATATTGTTAGTGTTTCTTACTAATATTAGCATTTTTAGATTAGATAGTGAATATGCAAAAAAGTTTAGTTTGAGTATTTTGGTAAATTGGAGTTATTTATTGTAAATATTTCAAAAAAGGTTGAAGAATAAAATTAAAAAGTGTTGAAATTTGTAAAAGTTAATTTTTTTATATTTAATAAAATTAAGAAAAATTTAATTATAATAGAATAGTATTGGAAGTTGGTTTTAAAGAGTTATTTCTATCATAAAATATGTCTAGATATTAGATAATATCTTGAGCTTTCTTAAGAAAAATTAACAGTAAAAATAGTTAAAAGTAAGATAAATAGTTTGAATTTAATATATAAAAAATATGATTTGGAGATGTTTATTTTAATATTATTAAATTTGTAGAAAGTAGATGTATCATTGAGTATAATTTGCATTATAGATAGGTCTTCACAATGTCAAATAGTATCATCCATATGGGGATTGGCAAATTAAAACACAGCTTATAGCATTTTTTCCATTTTGAGAAAATTGTATTTACATCTTAGTGTAATAATAATAATAGGTAATCTATTTTTAGTATAACCTGTTGTGAACCTGTATGATACTCAAGTTAAAACCTGTAAATTATATATGTCAATCTATTGTCTATAAAATAGAATGTGAAGTATTATCAAGGGGTGTATGATCGATCAGATCTAAAAAATTATTGTGTAGTACTTAGTGATGCAAAAGAATCATCCCAATGATTGTTGTAACTTGCTTGCAAATTGTCATAACTTGCCATAACTATATGTAAGTAATATAGAAAGTTACAGCATTATTACTATAGTTACAGCAATTCACAAGCAAGTTATAATAATTATTGGGATGATTCTTCTGCATTACTAGTATTACTATTAAATTTTTTTATTTTTTAGTATTAGGTTTCAAAGTTTTTTAAATCAGTTTATCTTTTTTGCTTTGTTTTTTAGATGTTCTTAAAAATCTCTTTAACGTTTTAGAGCTGTTCTTTGGTAGTTTTCTTGTATTTCTATTAGAGAGAGGCTCCAAAACATCAAAAAGCTTTCTTCTGGATTTTGTGTTCACTGGTAGTTCTCTTTGATGTCTTGAAGTTGTTCTTTAGCAGTTTTTTTTTAAATGTTTTGAAGCTGTTTTCTTGTAAGTTTCATAGGCATTTTGGAGTTTATTCTCTGGTAGTTCTCTTTAATATTTTGAAGCTGCTCTCTAGTAGTTTTTTATTTTTCTACTATGAAACCTATTCTGATTTAGCTTTAGTTTCTAATAGATTTCTATTAGTTTTTTTATTAAGCTTGGAGCTGTTCTCTGATAATTTTCTTCACCAGGTTTGGAGTTGTTCTTTGATAATTTCTTTGTGAATAAGGAGCTGTTTTTTTGGTAGGTTTTTTAGAAATTTTTGAGCTTTCTCTGATAATTTTCTTCACCAGGTTTGGAGCTATTATCTAGTAGTTTTTTATTAAAAAATTTGAGTAGCAAAGTAATGATGCAAAGTGATGGTGCAAAAAATTGGCAGTGATATAATATATTTTTGTATTTAGGCTATTAATTTTATACTTATTTATTCAGAATCTAAAAAAGTTCTTATGAATTTTTATAAAAACTTTTTTAGATCCCGAATTATAAGTATCCTAAATACAGAAATATAGTCTGAGTACTTGTATATAATGTCACTGCAAATTTTTTGCACCATCACTTTGATACTCAAGAAATTTACTTTAATTCAGATTTAGCTTCTAGTTTCTTCATCAGGTTTTGAGATTTTCACTTGTAATTTTTTTTGCTGGGTTTGGAGCTGTTTTCTGGTAGTTTTTTAGAAATTTTGAAGCTGTTCTCTAGTAATTTTCTTTATTGGGTTTAAAGCTATTCTCTGGTAATTTTCTACTAAGAAACATACTCTAATTTATTTTAGCTTCTAATAAATTTTTATTAGTTTCTTGAAACTGTTTTCTGATAATTTTCTTTGCCAGAATTGAGCTGTTTTCTGGTAATATTTTTGTCAGGCTTTGAGCTTTCTCCAGTAATTTTTTTACCAGTTTGGAGATGTTTTCTAATAGGTTTTTTAGAAATTTCAAAGCTGTTCTCTATAATTTTCTTCACTAGGTTTGGAGTTGTTTTCTGATAATTTCTACTAAGAAACCTACTCTAATTTATTTTAGCTTTTATTAAATTTTTATTAGTTTCTTTACCAGATTTGAAGTTGTCTCCAATAATTTTTTTTGCTAAATTTGAAGCTGTTCTCTAATAATTTTTTTTTACTGGGTTTGTAGTTTTCTCTAATAGAAATTCTGAAGCTGTTTTCTAATAATTATCTTTGCTGAATTTGAAGCTATTTTCCAATAGTTTTTTATTAAGAAACTGCTTTAATTTATTTAGCTTCTAATTAATTTTTATTTATTTCTTCATCAAAAAACTGTTTTCTAATAATTTTCTTTACTGGACTTTAAGCTATTTTCTGATAACTTTTTTTGCCAGATTTAGAGCTTTTTCTGATAATTTTCTTCACTGGATTTGAAGCTGTTCTCTGTTAAATTTTTCTAAGCCTATTTAAGCTTCTAATAAATTTTTATTGGTTTCTTCACTAGGTTTGTAGAACTGTTTTCTGGTATTTTTTTTGCCAAACTTTGACTTGTTTACTGGTAATTTTTTTCACTGAGTTTGGAGCTTTCTTTAGTAATTTATTTGCTAAGTTTGAAGCTGTTTTCTAGTAAATTTTTTAGAAATTTTAGAGTTGTTCAGTAATATCTTAATATAGTTTTATAATCTGATGATATACTATTTTGCATATAAATTTGTTGTAAAATAGTATTAAAATAAAATTAAAAAAATTATAATTAAATTAATACTTATCTCAAATCATATTTTATATATATAATTACTTAATTATTGCTAATTATTTAATTGTATAAAGTTGTTAAAAGTATCATTTTTATTAAATTATTTTATAATTGTACAATTAAATGTAAAGTGTGATTTCTGTAGATCATGTTGTTATGTAAAATCACAGAAAATTAATTGATTTTGATCAATAGGTTATTATTTATACATATTAAATTTTATAAAAAAAAATAAAATAAATACTAGAAATTTTTATAAATTTTATTTTTTTAAATTTTATAATTTATATTTTTAAATTAAAAATAGAAAATTCTACCCATTCATTATTAAAAAGTATTTTTTCTGAAACTCATCAAGAACTTCAAACATTACAAAATAATTTTTATAATTTACAATCATATTTTATAAATACTAATTTTGAGGATTTTGAATTAGAAAATTATAATAAAATTTTAGAAGATAAAAATGATGAAAGTGATGAGTTTTTATTTATTTCTAAATATCAATTACAAAAATATTACCAAATTTATGATAAAACTAAATGTTAATAACTTGAATGAAGATAATTTAAATAATAATGAATCTAAAAGTCAAAAATAGCTATTAACAATAATGAAGATGCTTTTATAAAACAGATAAGTAAAACAAATTGTTGTTAAAATAATTGTTTGAAAGAAAAAATTGATTCTAAAAAAGCTTTTTTAAGAAATTTGAATTTTCAATATTTATCTAAAAGTAATCAAGATTCTTTTTTAATAGGTTATTTTATTAGTATTTCAAATGTAAAAAAACTTCTAAAAGCAATAAAAGAATTAGAATATATTATGATTATTTTTTTGATTCAGAAGAAATATGTTTACAAGCTTTTAAATTTATTTATAAAATTGGATCAACAAGAATAGAAAATATTAAAACTCATTTATCTTAAGAAGATATCAAAGCTAGAATTCATAAATCTACTGAAAAAACTAGTCATACTGCAATATCTTTTTTTACAATTATAAAAATAATTAGTTTTATTTTAAGTTTTGCTAATAAATAGGGACTTCCATTACCAGATATATTTTATTTTTTTAATATTTTTAATAAATACTAATATATTAATTATTAATTATTTATTTATTAAGATTAACATTTTAAACAAGAAAAAATAAAAATTACCTTTTTGCCAGCTATTAAAAATTATACATCTTTATATAGACAATATTTAGATGCAATTAAACAAGATAAAGATATTGAAGAACTATATATTAGTTTAAATTCTTTTAAAACAATGTTTAAAAATTTTTTGTCTGAAATTAATTTTTTAATACCAAGAAGTGATTTGTGCTATTTTTGCAAAGTTATGTGATTTAATGCTGATAAATAAACTATAATTGAAAAAGAACAAAAAATTATTAAATAGAATAAACATATTAAAGCTGCATATAATAAATGTAAATATTATAAGTAGTATAATTAAAATTTTATATATTTATATATACTATATTTAAAATTATTTATTATTAAAATTTATTATTAATTTTTATATATATTAAATAAATTTAGAGAATGTATAAAAAATGCAAAAATTAATATTTTAAATTTTAATAAAAAAAACAATAATTAGACCAGGAAAATTTAATTCTTTGAATATTGAATTACATTTATCTTGGGATTTTGCACAACAAGTTCATTTACCTTTTTCATTACAACAAGAGGTAATAATATTTATTTATTTATTTATTTACCTATTTTATTTATTTATTTAATTATTTAATTATTTAAAATTTATTTTAAATTATTATTTTATTAAGGAGAAATATATTTTAAATCTCTTTATAAAATTCATGTTTTTGGAATGTGTAATGATGCATTTTCTTATCAAGTAAATTATAAATTTATTATATCATTAATATAAAATTAAAAATTTATTAATCTTATTTAAATTTTAGGTAAAATATCTTATTAAAAAAAGTGAAATGCCAGGTAAGAGAACAAATATAGTTATTTCTTTAGTTTATAATTATTTTTTATTACATGGATTAGAAGAAAAATATTTAACTATTCATGCAGATAATTGTTCTGGACAAAATAAAAATAATTTAATAATTGCATATTTAGCATGACAAGTAATTATATACTATCATGAAAGAATTAGATATTTTTTATAGTTAATGGATATACAAAATTTAGACCAGATTCATTTTTTAGATTATTTAAATTAGCACTTGCTAAATCAGAAGTTGATGATTTAGATGATTTAATTAAAGTTCTTGAAAATTCAACAACAGATAAATATAATATAGCACAACCTATTTTTAATAAGAAGGAAAATCAAGTAATATATTTTTATAATTGGAGTAAATGATTAAAAAATTTTTTTACAACAATACCAAATATTTCGAAACAACATTATTTTATTTTTAGTAAAGAATATAAAGGACAAGTAGAAATAAGCAAGTCTATTAATGATAAAAAAACATTAGTTTAAATTCAAAAAAAAATTTCTGCAGATATTAATTCAAATTCGGAAATTATTTCTCTTACTAGTTTAAGTGCAACTTGACAATAGAATCTTTTTGATGAGATTCGAAAACATATTCAGGATAAAAAAAAACAAGATAATTTTTGTTCAGAACTAAAAATTTCTAGTGTTATGATCCAAAATAGGATCATCATTAATATGTACAAAATCAAATTAGTAGTATAGCGTATATAGCATATATAGCATATATAACGTATATAGCATATATAGTATATATAGTGTATATAACATATATAGTATATAGTATATTTAGCATATATAACATATATAGCATATATAATATACATAGTATATATAGCATATATAGAGTATATAGTAGATAGGGAAAAGTATATAAGCAATAGCTTAAAATATAACAAGAAAGAATAGAACATACAGAACATAATAAAGAATATCTACCAGATATATTCACCAAATTCAACACCTCTTTCAAGTGTAATAACAGCCAACATTATACGAATGACCTATTAACTACTCTATGAATAAGGAATTTTAGGATAGTTCCAACCAGAATCATTATACTAGATCACTTAAACATATTTAAAATTTATTTATTATATAAATAAATTAGATTTAAAATGAAAACATAGCAGAATCTATCCTATTCCCAAATGTAACTCCTTTAATGATAATCTCAATCTTATTCAACCTATTAATCTTGTTGAACATATTCACAAACTATATACCAAAATTCTCACAAATAGACTAAGCACTATATTTTCTTCTAATCTTATTCTTTCACCTTTTAATTATGTTGCACTTCCTAATAATAGCACTTCAATCCCTATTTACATTCTCAATAATCTTATTGAAAATGCTACTTACAATCATAAGGACATTTGGCTACTTTCACAAGATATGAGTAAAGCATATGACTCTGTTAACTTTATTCTTTTTAAATATTCACTTTCTCATCTGATACACTCTTTATCTATTATTAATATTCTTTCTGATCTTTTAACTGATCATTATAACCAAGTTATTACTAATTTTGGACTTACTTCCTCTTATTCTGTTCACAATGGTATTGACCAAGATGAAACCATTACTCTTCTATTATGGTACATATACTATAATCTACTTATCTCATATATATACACACAAATATCTGGTTATACTTTACAATCCTCTTGGGCTACCAATCTCAAACTCCAAACATTTAACTCATTACAAAAACAATGCTATGTTTTGGCATATATGGATAATACTCTTTGGATTGCTTCATCACAAACTGAGCTTTCTAATATATTATTCATAGCTGAATCATTTTATGCTATAGCTAACATTCAAGTTAAACCTACAAAATCTATTCTGGTTACCAATAACTCTCTATCTTACTACACTCATATCCTCTATAATAATCTTCTTCTTTTACTACATTCTTCTAAACAACTCTTTAAATTTTTAGGTTGCTAGTTCACCTTGGACAATAAGCAATCCAAATAAACAAAACTGCTTATTGCTGAATCCTCTTATCTTATTCAAATTGCTAAAACTAAATGTATTACTAACTTACATGCCTGCTATATTATTAACATAGTTATCATTTCTACTCTTAAATATCATCTTCAAAACATTGTAATTTGTCAGCCTACCTGCAATAAAATCTTTACTCAGCATATCAGCTTTGTTAAACTTAAAGCTAAACTTTGTCATACAATACCCTCTAGTACCTTTTTACATCCTCACATTTACAACATCAAACACATCTGGGACATTCAATTACAACATCATATTCCTAACCTTCTTAAACAACTCAATAACTCTAATCTGTTAGGTACATCAACTCGCATTTGAATTTAATAGCTACAAAACAACCTCTGGTCTCTTACCAATATTTTCTTACATTCTAATTTTATTATTGATGGTCCTAATTGTCTAACTACAAATTTTAAAATTATTCAGCTTATCAAGCATGTTGGCTAGACATTTTCTATTAATCCAACCTATACCATTTCTTTTACTCTAAATGATAAAGCTATCTTTATTGAATCTCTTCTTTCTTTTTATTTCAAATATTCTATTTTCAAAAAACAACTTAGATATCACAAATTACTCTTTTTTGACCAATTTACTATATATGATAATTAATGTCTATTACACTGAAAACACATCTTTCCTAGATTAAATAAGCTTTCTAAAGGTATTGTACCTCAATAGTTCACCATTCTTGAGGATATTATAACAAGTCATTCTCATAAATGTGCTCTATATAATCACCTTAACTTACCTCAAACAAACTACTTTTTATATACTACTGGTTACTTCACCTCTAACACCAAACCTTGGCTACTTATTGTTCTTAATGATCAAATAATTATTAGCAAGGCCAGAAGGCATAATACTCCTACAGGCCTTACTCTCATTACTCACTAGCACTGCTCTTATCAGTCCCAGTTTTCAAACCTATATCCTACTTCCCTCTTTACTACTACATTATGTTCTGAATGCCATCTTAACTCTAATACAATTGCCAACAAATGTATCATATTTATTTTTACAAACCTGACTACAAAACTACTCTGTTGTATTAACACTGACAAAACTCTTAACCTAAATGCCAACTTTCTTGATATTACATATTCTGTAACTATTTGACATCCTTTACATATTCCTGCACCTTTTTTACTAATAATTAACTCACAACAAGTACCTTGCATCTTTTAGTCTAATTAACTTACTGATAGCTTACAGTCTATTGCTAATTCCAATCATAACCTAACCACCATCTTATTTTATACTAATAGTTCTGTTATTGAGCTTGGTACCTCTCAATGCTCTATAGGCATAGGTTGGGTTCAAGTTGATAATTCTGCAACTATTCACTCATTCCAGACACAAGTTAAACTTTGGCTATGCTTCTTTAAAGCTGAAATTCTTGCTATTCTCTTAGCAATTATAACTGCTCCTAGAAACTGCTCTGTCTATATCTTTATAGACTCACAATCTGTTATCTTCAAATATTATAATATCAGCTTATCAGCATCTAAACTCTCTCATACTCATACTTCATACTTCTCT